TTTGTACTACTTTTATTGAATATGTATAGTGATGCAAACAAATTTTAGGAAGAGTAAAGCGATAAAGTAGACGCAACTTTTTCAAGGTATGCGCATCAGGTTCGCATAATAATGTTTTCGACTGGTTCTGTTAACTTTTGAGTAACCCATTACAAAGTATTCTATCGAATAATATTGTTGTTCTTTTCTGCAGAATTCTCGCTTTTTGGCTTCTGCGACCATTCAAAAGAAGCGAGTCACTCTTATTCCTGGGGACGGCGTATGGCCCGAGTTATTCGTCTCGGTCAAACATGTATTCAGAGAGCTCGGTGTACCGGTTGAATTCGAGGAGCTTCATATGAGGTACACAGTTACTATAAATGTAAAAGTGATGGTGTTTGTTTGTGTCTAGTGGACTACTGGGAGCCCAAACAATTGATCTTAACGTTGTGTTGGAATCTCTGAAGAAGAATAAAGTTGGTCTAAAAGGAATTCTTCGTACCCCCGTTGGTACTCAAGAGTTGAAAACACTCAACATACGAATGCGGTTAGTTTGAACTGTTTCTTCTGTCGTTCATTACCACCAATGCTTCAACTTTTCGATCTCCGTATAGGTATACCTTCAGATTACACGCTCCTTTTCATTCTGGTAGGCATTCATGTCCTAGTACCAGACAGATATGTTAGGTAGTCATAGTTTGATTATCGTTGAATGAATATACATTGCATATCCAACTCGACGGACTATCGATTTTATGAAAGATAATAACGATAACTCACTCAGAGTTGCTGTTTTACTGGCTACTTTGACATGCTGCTCCCTCTATGGTAAAGGAGTCACATTTGATTGACCAATTAAAGCCCGGTGGGCTCTTCTACTATGGAGGTGTTATAAAGTGAATGGTTCTTATTGGCATCGACAACATTGTCTCCCTCGCTTTTTGAGTAGAGCCATTGTCTAACAAAGTGCGTTTCCATCTTCCTGCCGCCTCGGATTTCAAGGCCATGTAATTGGTTGATTGGAACTAATGAAACTCATGGAAGAGAATCAACAACAGGATCCAGACTACCTAAAAATTCATGTGCGTGTGTGCACAGCTACACTTTGTAGTCTTTTTGTTGACAACAGTGGCTCATTTTATTTTCCTTGCTCTCAAACTAGACTCATTCCCTATCTACCGCACGCATTTGTCCTTACTTTTGTATATTGTGAGCTCAGCAGCTGTCAATGAAGTTCTATGCGATGGTATGCTATGCGATGTAATGATGGTGATGGTCGTTATCGCCACTGTTTCATTTCCAATCCGCAACCTAGACGCATTTTGGATTTATATGCCAATGTAGTCCATATTCGCAGTCTGCCCGGATTGCATAACAAGCACGGGGCGTTGGATTTTGTTATTATTCGTGAACAGCTGGAAGGCGAGTACTCCGCATTGGAACACGAGTCTGTGAAAGGTGTGGTGGAGTCTTTGAAAATCACCACTCGGCATAATTGTGAGAGGATTGCCAAGTTGGCTTTCGACTATGCTGTCCGAAACAAACGACACACAGTGACCGCTGTGCACAAAGCCAATATAATGTGAGTTCAAAATTTGTTAGATATTTTGTCGATGCAGTTAGTTCACTTTCAGTCTATGACTGAGGAATGAAAGTGAGTCGCGGAGGGGATTCTGTCTTCCCCGTTCGAATATAGCAATTAATGTTTTCTTTTGTTGTCGAAAATGTGTCTTTATATGATAGCATATCATTTAAAATGTAATATTTGTTAAATAGTTCCAGTCGATCATTCTTCGAAAAGACCTACCGCTCCAAACCGTTGCGCTGAATAGTATAAATGAAATAAACCTTCGTACTGGGGTCCGAATTTTGAACCCTCAGGATAGGACCAGTCATCATAAACATTGGTGCTGTTGCATTTGTTTCCGTCATGAATGTGGTTCTTTTCACATTTTGGTAATGTCTTATCTCGGATCAAAAATCAATATGACAACGCCTGATGTGTCGGTTGATGGTTGTACAAAGTAAGCTGACGTCGACCGAAGGGATATTGCACATGCTAATATATGGTTGGGTACAGGTCCTACTTTTTGACAAGCTGAGTCTGAAACATCAGAACTGAACGTTCGCCTGATAAACCAATTAAGCTATGAATAAAAAAGATGTGATATCACTGTGGATTGCAGCAGAACTGTTACCTACCCAGATCTCGATGGAAGTGATCTGTTTTTGGCACGGGCTGTTTACCACCTAAAGCGGTAGAAAAATAACAAAAGTGTGCTACAGAGCCATTATCGTTTTATGCGGATTTCTTCATCTGTTTATTTTGTCTTCATATCCCTCCTCGATCTTCCTCCTGTTGGTCAATTATTAATCCATAGTCCTATTCCTTCACGAAGTCCTCTTGAAAACCAGCTTTTCTACATTGTGAGGTTTGAAGCTCACTGCCATGCCAATTGCGATAACCGGATTAGCTTCCTTCTGGCGCAGTATCACCTGTGTTTTATTGAGATCACAATCGACTTTCCGCTTTTCGTCCCACGTGTTTGGTTTTAATTCTTCGTAATTGTTGCTGCGACGGTCAGGTCCTTCGTTCTACCGTTGATTACACCCAATTGTGCAGTAGTAATCTTAAATTTATATTCCATTCATAAATCACAATTATTATAGTATACAACAATTGAATTGTAAGGTCTAGTAAAAAAAACTCATTTTTGTATTCCGTTTGAAACAAATGCGTTTAGAAAATGGCATTAAAAATGTTTGTAAAATTACGTTTATGTACGAACTGTGTTCATTGTCCGTTTTTCGCCCCAACTTGTTTCGGTTACCTCTTTTGAAAAATCGCGCTCTATTTTTCAGTTGTTTTGCCTTTCATCTTTTTGCTATTCTGTGGTAATTTGTTATCTGGCCTCACAACGATTCCATTGGAATTAACGGGTCTCACGGTCTTATACTCCCTTGTATTTCCCACATTCTGTTTGTCTCTCTGCAGGAAGCTAGGTGACGGTCTGTTTCTGGAGACGTGTCAGAATGTCTCTAGACTCTATCCACACATAAAGTTCAATACGATGATTATTGACAATTGCTGTATGCAGTTGGTCAGCCGTCCAAAACAGTTTGATGTCATGGTAATGCCAAACTTGTATGGAAATATCATTGATAATCTTGCCTCTGGTCTTGTCGGCGGAGCTGGAGTTGTTCCCGGTGTGAGTTATAGTCATGAGGTACGTTTCGATGCTTGTTAACCTTGTCATACAAATGTACTCAGATATTTATCTCAACTCAAAAATATTGATTTAGTCTCTCAATTGGTGTAATATGTAGAAAGTACACATCCCTCTTTGAGGCATGTTTGTTTGCACTGAAACGGAGAACTAGAAATTCGTATTTTTACTGCCAATGAACCGCGACAATCCGATTTGGGGATTGATATTTTACATAGTAATTCAGCAAAAGCGAGCATAGATTCCAGGAAACATATCAGTTTCGGTTTCGGTTTTCACAACCATGAACAATGCACCTTCGTGCGCCGTTTTTGGCTGCTGCCTCATGGCTTCCCATTTGGGTGAAGGAGTGAAGGGAAGATTAGAATGTTCAAATCAGTGTCGGAGTGAAAAAAAGAATTCGTGGAAACTAACGTTGCAAGGATTAAGAGTAGATGCACGAGCGCCACTGTTTGCGACACTCAGCCATGTAACTCAGTGTCTGTAACCATTGATTACACTGATCCCAATATCCCTATCGAGCAAACCTAACGCGGCCTATTTAAGCAATTCTCTTGCTCAAGGATTTCATATCCACATTCCAAGTATGAAGCCTTCTGTATGTTTTCCGATACTTCATCCGTGATACGTCCGCCAGTTGAGATGTAGCCACCCAGGTAGTAAAATTTTTCTACTTGTTCTGTTACTTCTCCAGTAAGAGTGAGGTTAAGAGCTGGACCAACCCAGTCCTGTAGCAACATTTCGCACTTTGGAGATGCAAACCACACACCGAACATGGCTGCACTAGCACAGCTTGCAACTTACGTGGATTTTCACTTAGCAGTACG